GTAAGCCCTTTGAATGTGCTGGTCAGCAGCCTCTTTTCATTTACACCTGATAAATGTAAGTCAATGAGCATATAGTTTCACATAACCACGAAAATATTCGACAATTTGAAAACAACAACTTTCTGGAGAGCCGGTCAGGATCCGAATTAGGAAACAAAATGTGCATGCTAACAAGATCTGGTCTAAAAAGTAAAGACAAAAAATTCATATCCAAGCCCGAAAATTGTCCGACCTACAAATTTGCGGACTTCCTTGTCCAAGTTCTTAATTTGCTTTATGACTTGTACCTCCATCACTGATCACACAAGTATACCGTTATCACATTTTTCCAAAACCTAATGTACTTAAGAGTCTGAGCCAGTGATATGTGGAGGTATTGGTCAGCCTACTCATTGTTCTGCCAGCTGTCATTAGAAGCTGTCAGTATATATAACGATCTCCAACCAATGCTACTCGACTTGCGACTAGTAAGTAAAAAGATACTGGTGGATATCAGCGAGCCTGCAATGTGACATGAATACTGGTCAGAGGATTTTTTGGTGCAACAGCTGTCACTTCAACACCTCAATGTGGATGTCCGCTATAACACCGACGCGTTAGCGCAGTCGGACGATTGCATTAGCGGCTTATTATATTTAAGACCAAATGTTATTACGTTTAGGACTTTATTGCATTTAGAAAAGTTATTACATTTAGGACTTCAACACACCTCGGCCTATGCTCTGCCACCTGGAGTACGTATCTCCAGTTCTTACTCCCTGCTATCTTCCAGTTAGATAATACTTTAGAAGCGCGCAGCCTTTCTCACCAACACCGTAAGCCTTGAGTTTTGCCAACAATAGGTCGTGCTGTATAAGATCAAACGGTTTAGAAAGATCCATGGACACCACACCAACCAATTCCCACCTATCGCGCATGCTCCTCCAATCCTCTGTCAGACGTAACAGGGTTGTCTCACAACTATAGAACTTTCTATAAGAACTGATGAAATCAGATAAGATGGCGAAATAAAAGTCTTTCATTTGTACCATCAACAGCCTTTCGTATATAGTGTTGAGAACTGTTACGACTGTAACGGGCCTATAGTTGGTCTTGTTGAATTCATCGCTTTTTTTAAACAAGGGTGTTACCTGACCTTTTTTTCCACTCCCTCGAATACACACCATGGTCAATGGACGAGTTCAAATTGCTTGCAACAGGTTTAGATAACACAGCCGCCGAATCCTTTACAAGCCTAGGTGTCATCATGTCATGGCCACACGATTTGCGACAATTGATTTCAAATAGCAGGCTTTCGATCTGTATTTGATTAGTGTGCTG